CATCACCCAGAGGAATATCAAAATCCATTAAACAAGTCAGTCAAATGCTGTGCAACATTGCAGCAAGTAGGGAAAAAGCAACTTAAAACATTTGAATACAGCAAAATTCTTACAAGAGAGCTAATGTCATGCCTCGGTAACACTAGGTTAAATTAAGAAAACTACATTTGAAGACGTGCTACAATGGATGAATAAAAAAACATGCTGGATTTATTTCTTTTACTCACTTGGATTTTGTACTGTTGGTTTGTGGAGGGCCATGATAATATGCCAGCTTTATTCATAGCATTACAGCATACACATTTTACCTGTAAATATAGTCTTTTATATTCTGAGATATAACAGTACATTTATTAAAGTTACTCAACTTAATTTCTTTTCAGCCACTAGGGGGTCTAGTGAGACTCAAAATAAACTGGCACCATAAGTCGCTCCTAACTGCTCTTCGTCTGTCCCATCACATCCTGTTTCCAAACAACAGCATAATATCATAGCCTGTGACAAACTGTACAAAATGCAGCCTTTAGTCCGAAGCTAGTATTAGCTGACTAATGAGTAAATTTGTCAGTCCAGCAGAATGCTTTGGTTGCTGCTAATATGACACAAAACACTAACACTGCACAGTTTCAAATTACTCTGAAATTAATATCATATTATGCAATACAAAGGTCAAATCTTGACCATGCTAGGTCGCTCACAACGATCAAGCAAACACATTAATTTTAGATGCCAAAACATCCAGAAGGAAGAATGCCACATCTGAGACAAATTTGAGTTCACTAGGCAGGACCACTTATGACTAATGTTGATGTGGATGAGGTGGGTTTGTGTGATTCATACTGATGCTGCTCGGTGTCTGTTAGGGCATCTTGGGAGAAGGCTTCTGGAGAATATGTGTGGCTCCCAGGCATAGTGGATCCCCAATGGGAAGCAGAAGAACGCAAAGGAAAAGAAGAGGACAGAGAAAGACCAGCTCAGAAGGGGAGGGCAGGTGGGTTTACGAGAAACAAAAGCACTCGGTAGCTGGAGTGCGGGGTATTTATAGTCAGGTGACAGGTGTGTGTTAAGGCATGGTCCTGCTCCTGAACTTACAATGTACATCTTCATTATTTTGGTTGCTTTTAATGCTCACCATCTAAAGGCATCAAACCGATGTGAACCCTGGTTTTTACTCCTTCTTTGATCCATTCACTCTGTGCAAAATAACACAACTTCTTCATTCTGGCAGCCACTATTTCAGACTTGTAGAGGTCCTCCATGGCTTGGTGTTTGAGATGACTACTTATAACATTCATTAGGTGGCAGATGGGGCTAATCTATAGACCATATTTTGACCACATAGAGAAGCTGGAATAACAACAGAAGTGCTGTAAGTGGCAGGCTGTCATAGAAGGTTGTAATATAGTGGACCAACAGCATGTCCTATCCCATTTTCACTTGATTTATCATACAAGGTGTAAAATCATAGTTAATGCACCTTTAATGATATAAAATGCATTTTTTTTTCATGAAATCAAATGAGGCTTATGACTTTCTACAGGCTATGGTCTGGCATTTTGAAGAGTGTGAGGGATGAAGCATAACAAATAGGATGGAATTAAGTGGTGAAATTAATCAGGATTTATTTTATGCATGCTATGACTGGCATGAAGCAAATCGTATTAAGAAAAACAGAGGGAATCTAAATCGAGGTTAAACAGTTCTTGTTTCAAAAACAGTTTAGTGCAGATGTCTCTGTCTATTTGTATATACTGTAGGCTATATTTATGATCCAAATCTCAGGAGTATAAAAATGTCATATGTCTGTTTTTTCCAATGTGGTGATGTCAGAAAAAATACAGTAGTGCAATGAAAGAAACAGGCTTTTGTGATGGAAATGGACAAACAGGATGTAATCGGTTTCATAATCTGCCAGCAAGGAAGCCCTGAGGTAGTGGGCAACAGATGTATTAGTTTGTTCTCTTGTGTATGATTCACTGTGGCAGCGCCCCGCAAAGACCAATCCCTCACTTGAGGATGCAAGTTTAGTGGCTGAAGACATCTGTCATCAGATTTTAGGAAAATCACATGGTCAGGAAAGGAGTTGAGTTGTACATGATCACATACACAAACTCATTGTCCTGACATATTACCTGTTGACTCGTCTTCTCTTTTAACATTTATCTCTCCCTTTTTATATTCTTGTTCACTCTCATTTATTATACTCTTGTGTGGTATCACAGTTGATTTTAAAAGTAAAACCATATGGCAGAGATGAACAAACCCGGGTCTCTTGTGCTGTTTCCAGGTGCACACACTTGTTAAACTCACAGCATGTAATGAAATGTGACAGCATACCACAAATCCAAAAGCATGGATAGGCACCAACTGGAAAAACTAACAGAGTTTAACACTGACATAATAGGTAAAGACAAAGAAAAGGCATCTTTAGATTTGAGATGGTGAAATGAAAACAGGAGAGGTCACTTAGCACATTTTTTCTCCTCTTATTAGCTGAGGTATGTGCAGCCCGCTGCTTGTCTCTGTTTCTCATTAGCTTCTACTTTGTCTTGAAAATGAATGGCTAAAGGCTCTGACCTCATGTTCATAACTCTGGTTTGGACAAAACCAGGCTTTGTGCCAGCCCTCCAGGCACACCACAGCCTGGATGTGCAGTCTTTACCACTGCCAAAACCCCTAAAGAAACTGCCCTGGCCCCCAAGTTTTACCCTTTATGTCCCGTATTCATTCAGCTGTGACTAAGCGACTCTCCCTCGGTATGTGCCACATTTCATAATGAAATCATTCAGTCATGTGCAGGAAGGTCCCTGCACTCTGCTAGCCATGAAAGAATGCCAGTTAAGTCTGTCCACACACGGCAGGCTCACTGGGACAATGGATAGTAGAAGTCAGTTAGTCATCTGGTGTCTGGCAAGTCATCCAACTTTTTTTTGTCCAGAGCACTGAAAATTTTTATTTTAAATCATGCAAAATACTGTACTGTAATTAAGCAAATGCAGATTGTGGCTGTGTCTTCTCTATTAGACATGTATTTATATGTTGCAGGCTTGACGAGTTATATCATGAAGGAAAGGTTCACTGTGGGAAATATACTAGACCCTCTTCATACCTCTCTCATGTCTATCTGAACAATACAAGGCTACAGTAGGCTGCCTGTTTTTTGAACTGAGCAAAACAACTGGAAATAGGAGGACATAGCTAACCTGGCTCCGTCAGAGCATAACAAAAAAAATCCAGCTACTGTCAGCACCTCAGTAATTAACATGTTAAGAATCATTTTTATACTTTCACAAAAAAGGGGGTTCACATGGGGTCAGGTACTGGACTATTTCTTGGCCGGGGACAGTTACTTCTTAAGTCATGTTGACATCATCTAGTAGAGACTTTAGCATGCCACTGGTCTCGGTCAAGAAACAGTCCCATTGGTGAACCTGCAAATCAATGTGTATTTTTTTAAGTGGATTAAACAAATAAGATATATTTTGTAAATTAGTGAGCTTCAGAGGCTCTGGTGAGTGGATTTTCTTACGTTTGAACAGAGCCAGCTTGCTGTTTCACATCTTTAATATAAGCTAGGCTGATGGAATCGGCCATGAACTGACCTGACAAACAGGAAAGTGGCATTGATTTCTAATAGGCAGCTCCCAAAGTGTGTTACTATTCCTTTAAAATGTTACTGTAATCAGTATAAATAGCTTTTAGTATAACTTATTAATAATTCTGACTTTATTTAGCTTTTTTAAAAATAATGGAAGAGGATCTCATCCAACTTTCAAAATGGTTTATGTACACAGCTGGGACTCCTTACACTTGCCTGCCTGAGAAGTGTCTGTGTGCGTTTGTATTTCTATGGAGACGATCCTCCCTCAGCATTTCTGGAATGTTTGCAATGTGCACAAAGAAATTGTGCTGGGACCTGCTGTGGGCCTCTAGCTGTATGACTGTCCTGTGATTCAGCTTGCTCACATAGAAGACAAGCACATCTGGAAGAAACTGCAGGACATTGGCATGTGTAAGGGCATACTGCTCTGATGCCACAAGCTAAGACAAGCTGCTCTCATTAGACCTTCTCACGTAGCATGGAAATGCTGTTGCCTCTGGGTGGAAAAAAGGGAGGACTTGAAGGAGTTTGGTGTGGTGATCTGAAATAAGCCAGGCAGGAAGAGTGAGGGAGGAACATATGTGAACAGCTAAAAGGGTGATTAAACAACTTCTTTGAAATCCACCATTAGTGTGATTACAGCCAGCTTGGTCCCTGGTTGAAAATTGTTTTTATTGCTTTACTGTGGGAAGAAATCCACAAAAGAAAAAAAAAAGAATTAGGAAAATTAAACCTTCATTTTCTATTTAGCTGGCAAATGAAGTTGACAGTGATGTTAACAGTGAAGACAGATGTGAAGCAGGAAGGGTGAGTGAAATATAGAGGGAGGGAAATCACGTGAAGCAGGAAAGGATGATGGGTTGTGAGTCTGTTTTAGACATGCACTTTACCTCAGCCTAGCATTTTATGTTTAATCCCTGGTGTCTGCAGCCTCTCATAAATCTATTTGCTGTGTTCAGCATTAGCAGACATGCTTGGAGCACCATGCACAGCTGCAGGAACGGGCTTTGCAACCCCTCTGCTCACACACTAACCCTTCACCCAGCAACCAGCACACCAACATGACCTGCATTCCCCTATACAATGGTCAGTGCGCATATTGATCCCCAAGTCCCTATTACAGCTGCAGCAGGCAGTTAGTCTGGAAAAAGCTGCCAGTTACACCTGCTTAAACCTCTGCTGCTTCCCTGCCACTATGGAGTGACCGAGCAAGGAAAGGAACAAATCTCTGACTCGCGTGCTGGAAGCCATAAAATGAGGTGCGAGTATAAATTGGGCCACTTTTTGAACAGGATGCACTCATCTATGGAACTGTACAAACAGCAGTGTTGTGCCGTGGAGTTGGCCATATAAAAACATTGTTTAAAAAAAAAAAAAAAAAAGCCAGATGAGGTGCAGAGTAGCCAGAGGCTGGAAAGAATTAGATCTTCAAAAGCTTGATCATTGACCTTTCCTCTGATGTGCTCACAAGTCTAGAAGCAGAAATCAGACACAGAGCCTGGCCTGTGGCAGAACTAATGAGGAAAGCATGCTTTCAAAAGGGTTAAATGAAAGATTGATGGAGTAGCGTGAGATAAAAGCTTTCTGCAAAAGGCAAAATAATACAACTGACCTTCCAGTAATATCCTGCTTTTTCTCTTGAATACCTTTCACAATTCAGTCTGTGAAAAACTGTAAACAACGCTCTCCTCTGAGACCAAAGCTCTTGTTAATTTGGGTTCGGCCTCTGAGCAGCACATGCTCACACTAAGGGAGTTTTCTTACTTCCCAGCTAAACACACTGAATCAATATGCCCTCCAGTCTTGGCTGTAGATTGACTGTTGATATTACTAGTGTGAAATCGTTCTTCTGTTCTGGAAAAGGAGGATATTTTCATATAGTTAGTGAACAGTTAAACCCTTTTCAAAGGATGTCAAATGATGTAGTCTCCTTTAGCTCATCATTCTGTGCGATTATAAAGGGGATTAGAGTTTCCTGTTGCGGTGTGCCTGTGGTTGACAGAATGGCTCCTGGGGAACAGTGTGCCACTACAAGATATTTCCACAACAAAATGAGTTCTCTGTAATAGGCAGGTAAAGAGGCCTGAAAAATCCCAGCGCTTTACACAATCTAATTAAATATTTGATGCGCTCTAATAAGGCAGTTAAGTACAAACAGCACACAAAACACATTTGCATAAGAGTTCAATTAAATTATGGTGTATTTATCGAAAAGGAGAGGGATTTTGGAATGTTACAATGCACATTAAATTAGTGGAGCATCAAATATTCAAAACAGGTTGGCAGATGATATTTGCAATTTACAACATGTACAATGGATATGATACACCTGTGACTTTAAGGCTGAATATGCAGTCAACACAATTACAAGAGTGCAGGTGCTGCTATGACAATGTACTGTGCAAACGATCTATAAAAGCGAGCCAGATATCAAGAGAAATACAGTATTCTAAAGTCAACTTACTGAATGTTAAGGCTTAGAAGTTTCTCATTGGGACTACTGAACACAAGGCAATAATCCAAACACAGAAATGAAGGCTGCATTATAATACCATAGTCACTAACATAGCCTACTCTTTTACATTGATTCCTATTCAGCAAGCATCTGTGGAGTGAAGAAGCCTAGGAGAGGATAAACTGGCCTCAGTCATTCCTTTGTGAGGCACACAGTACAGTGAAAATCTCACCAGGGAGCTTATAAACGTGTGTCAAATGTACTTATTTATAAAGTAGGCAACACATTTTATTCACAAGAGGTAGTTCAGCTGGATATTCAAGACAGCTTTTGTATAATGTGCATCAGTTAAACACAGGTGTGCCAATCGCTTTTGCGAGGCTCGTTATACTGTGCAGACAACAAATCCATCACCTGTGCATGCTGAATGTTCACAGCTGGCTGTACTTGCCTTGGCAATGCAAAATGTGTTTGTATAATCTGTCTATCCTGTCCTGCAGAACACCGGCGTGCTCATCTGAGAGAAATCCTAATTCGAGAGACAAAGGCTCGCTGTCTCTGTAGAGCTCCAGCAGCCTTTTCCTGGAGTCTCTGCGCCTGTGCAGCTCCGCCACGCGCTGCGCGGTCCTTTTTCTGAACACACACACCGAGCTTATCACTGTATTATGATATTTCTCCCACATATTTAAGACCCGAAATCCGTGCACTAGTCCGGCCTCGTTGTCGATGAATACAAGATCACCTCGAGGTGTTTTGAGGAGGTTGTTGGTGTCCCTCTCCATTACGCGCGAGTCCCACTGCAGGCTGAACAGATTGCTGACGAGCCTGTCGAAGTTTGCAGTCAGGTAGTCAAATATGATCAGGTCGGTCCACTGCATTAGCTCCAGCAGCTCTGCCGTCGTCTTGTTCCAGAGCTCCTCAAGCACAGGATGCAGCCCGCTGCTCTCCTGTCTAAGCGGTGCAGGTGTGACCACCCCGGTCAGGTTGGAGACCCACTCAGTTAGAGAAACCACAGCTCGGTCACTCCACTGTAAATCACGTACGCGAGTCCGCACGGCCGCCCATTGTTCACTGTCACTGTTCAGCTGGGACAGTATTAGAGGAGGCAGGTTTGTGATGCCCAGCAAACTGGCAAGGTAATATGTCAGAGTTTCTCCTTGCACCTGATCCGCGTTTATCCCGTAACGCACACACGCTTTGGTCCCATCTGCAAAAGTGGCGAGCTGATTGGATATCCTGCCGCATCCAGGCTCCAGCTTCACTATTCGGTATGTCCTGGCTCTCTCTCGCCAGTTCCGAGCATATTCCTCCGTGAAGCCGAGAGGGAGGAGATCTTCCAGCCACTCACTCCAAAATATCCCATCCTCCACCGGGGAGCCTAACTCGACCGGGCCCTCCAGCCTCGCTGACCTCTTGTTACCCTCATTCACATGGTAATCTCGAATAACTGCAGAGACAGTTTGATGGGTGAGGTTGTGAGCCTCAAGTCTACCCCCCAAGTGCGGTCTTTTTGCTGCTGGGACCGCGAGCAATGCCCGAAAAGTTTTGGCGGAGAGGTCCGCTGGGAGACCTTGGGGAAAAGACCCTCCGCCCGGTACTAGGAACCCCCGCTTGTGTCGCTCCAAACGGGTTTCCAGTGCGCTCCAGACATAGAAAACACTTGCGAGGGCGCAAAGGAAGAGCAGAGCGAACAAGTTTACTGTAACAGCCCTCATTGTGAAGACGACCCTTCCTTTCAGAGACTTACAGAGGTCCAGCAGATTCAAGCAAGCTGCAAAAAGAGCCTAGTGCCTTTAATCCACAGCTGACCCGAAGAGGCTGCTGTGCGCCCCGTGTCCCGTACACTTCCCGAGCCCTGTGGCTCCCAGGCGGACAGTTTAAAATCACAGGAAGAATAGGGTCTCAGAAACAGTGTGCATCTCATCCCCCGTCCTGTTCAGATGCCGCGTCGTGCCTCTCCTCATTTGGATCCTCACGGTGGTTGCCTTCTACATTGCAACCCACCAGCATCGTAGGCGCTTTCTGTCCGTGTTCGCCTCTCCGATTCTCAGCGTGCCCCTCTTTCAACAGTTTGCTGGGTGCGTGTGATTTGTGGCTGTGTCGGCTCACAGAAAGACACTAGGCGGTGAGACACGTGACTCCAGTCCCGAGATGGTGGGCGGGTCATATGGAGGAGGATTCAGAGAGGAGCGGAGCAAGTGCACTGCGCTGTATGCTGTGTGTGTTCTACTGCATTAAGAAAAGCAGGCATTATGATAATTGGTCAGGAATAATGTCAACATTTTAAATAATGTATATTTATTGCCTATGCACCAACAACCGAGTTAATGAAGCAAGTCGGCGAGGTTGGAACAGAGCCAACTCTGCTTGCTCAGTTGTGTTCTCTTAATTTTTTTCTTTTTAATTCTGTGTTTTATTTATGGCCACCATAAAATCGTTATGGTCCACATAAAACAGTATCCGCACATTTTCTTTGTTCCTCATCTCTCCAGCACATTGGATTTGGAAGGAAAATATACCAGTGGTTAAAGTGTTGACTTTCAGCACTGAGGGAGTGCTCACAAATTAGGTGGACATAGGAGACAATGCCCCTTTTACACCCCCGTTTTAATAGAATGAGGCAGGATGATCCAAAACGTACAGACAAGACATTCTTTTATACCCAAATACTGGAATGGTCTAGTCTGGCCAAGTGTTTGAAGACCAAACTGAAGGCAAAACAAAAAATCAACTCCTGAAGGGCCTGACAAATTGAGTACAGAGCCAAAACATCAAAATGTGACTTTCCCAGTTCCCAAAGACTGCACTGTATAACACTATCCTCCCACACCACAAAATACTTTTTAAGGCTGAAAGAATATTTAGAGACATTTGAAGTGATGAACAAGAATGGCCTTAACTACTTTTTGTAGGCAAAAATAACAATGATTTAAGTGAATTTTGAAATGTTTTCTTTATTTCCATTCATTTTATGTCATCTAGACCTACAAATGCACATTTTCTTCCATGAAATGTAAAAGATACCAATGAACTTTTGCTTGTTTCATACACATCTCCCTTAGTAAATTCTTCCTCATTAGTTTCCCCTTGCACTCTTTACCATTCCACTCATGTTTTCTCACTTTGCATCTTGAACCTTAGGTTCCTAATCAAATTAATTGGGTTATTTTTATAGCAACATGCTGGCATGCTCGATTGCCACTGAAATGAGCCATAGACCAAAATGTTCAGATAGGCCCAGTAAACTAGCAGTCATTAACAAATACTTTTAAACGTTGATAATCATGTTATTTTATAGTTTTGAAGAGAGACATACTGAAACCCACATAAACTGATATCTAATAACATTTAGGACTAGACGAGATGACTTCATAGACAGGCAGGTGAAATTATTTTGATGTGGTCGTATTTCTCATGTAACCTTCACTTCTGCTTTGCCGAGTTGGATGTTTTTTTTTTTTTCCTGTCAGCCAAATAATTTGTTCATTTCTCATTCCGTGTTTGATTCTGCAATGCAGATGCAGAGGGAGCAAAAAAAAAAATCCCCTGGTTATGAGTCAGTAGAGAAGCACTGACAAGTCTTAGAATCTCAAGAAATGGTTTGTGTAGTAGTGCATGGCCGAGCGTGTTTTCCTAGACTAAAGAATGGGTCCTTGTGGAAATGGGGTTTTTTCCATCTACTGTCAGGGTATGTTTAAAACGTATTAGCCTTTGCAAATTGCACACTGTGCCTGTGTTCCAGAAATGCAGATAGTTAGAGCACTAAACAGGCATGATAAATACATACAAGTATAGAAAGGTACAGAAAGGATACTCTTGAGTTTGAATAAACATGTACTGTACATCATATGACTGTTCTCCAGTCCTACTATAAAAATCTTGCTTCATCTTGGGCTAGCTGCTTTTCCTTTACTTTCACGTTAAAGCTGAGAAATAGTCAGACAGGACTTCGAAGGTCTAGACATGGAAAATCAAGAAGGCTTAAGTGCATTGCTGGAATTCTGTCTGATGTGTGTTGCCTTTTAGGAGTGTGGAGTTACAGTACTGTGTTGACTGGCTCCGTTTGCAGCAGCACAGCTCTTGGTGTTCCCTTTCCTGAGCACAAGTGCGGGCATGTTCACATATCAAACCTATCTGTTTCTTGCCATGTGTTATCTCCAAGTCAGCTGACCTCTGAGGCTCCCCTCCTCCTGCCACATTCCTCCTTCTGCTTTCCTTGTAAAACCCACAGCAGTCCCAGGAGGGCTGTAACCCAGGGGAAGCAGTCATGGCTGTCGGTGGTCAAGCACTGCAGTGACACAAGAGATCCCAGACCGTCTGTCATTCTCTCTGCAACGACACAGCACACAGATCACCAGCCGCCTGAGCACGCCCGCAGCTGTGATACAATCTTGGGTTCTGTGTGTGGTGCCTGTCTGCCTGTGCAGATGGACAGAGGGAGGCAAAGGACACACAATAGGATGAGGACAGGAGAGGAGAAAGTGCAGTGGGCTTCTGTCACTTCCCTCCTAGTCTAAGGTTAGTTCACACTGAACAATAACTCATAGGTCCCTTGACGCTTTGCAGCACTCTGTTTCTTGGACTGAATAATGAACATGCAGGGATTCCATTAGTGTTGAAAGCTATGATTATTTCACAGGACCTGACAATTACTCATGCTCAGGGAGTCAGGGACAGGGCGGGGGAGATCCACTGGGACGAATTCTTCATTTCCTGGTTTATGTGTATGATGACGATATCACCTTCATGGTTTTGTTCTTTGGAAATGCCCACGTGTTTATTCTAAAAACAAAATGTTAATAGAGCAGATACCTATGGTATGGTGGTCTGATCTAGTATTTTAGTGGTGAGGACGTATGTGCACTGACCTGTCAATACCTGCATTGAAAGCAGGAACAGGGATATTGCTATCTGCCCAAGAAACCCAGCATGCTGTTCTCTCTCCATAGACTACTAGAATTTTGGCTGCAGTAAAGCTGCAGGTGAAGATGCACCATTACAATAAATACTCCAGAGACAGATGAGACATTTCTTTTAACTACTGGTGACAGAGACTCGATCTTGTCAGCACTAATCTCAGCACTAACAGCTTGGAATAGTGCATAAATTGCATAAAAAGGACTTAATAGTCAGCACACTACTTTCTTGGCATATATTAACAAGCGGATGTTGCTGGTATTGACTGTGAGAGGTTACACAGTTTAATTCTTGACTGTTGTTTTTCCAGGGTGATGCAGTTTGGCTTTTTTAGATAGAAACTGGGGCCTCAGAGGCAGTGAGAACAAGACACCTGGGTGGAATCAGACTGAAGCAGTTGCTACACCAAAAGATGTGCTGCACTGCTAAAGCCTGAGCATGACATTCAACCCCTAAACTGCTGCCTTTCTTCTGCTATTCACTGCAGTTGAGTAGTCAGTGTCCTGATTAGTAATGACTAGTTTGTTAATGCTTACTAATGAATGGGTTATTGTTAATTATTTCTCACTCAGCTCAGAAAAAACCAAGAGGTTTGGCCTATTGTTGCACTGTACTCCTCATCTCCGGCTGGTTTTCAAGCAGCAGCAGTTAAAGTGGATGGTTTGAACAGGCAAAGGAGTGGGCTTTTGGAATTCAGTGCTACACAAGAGAGACCCTCTTACACGAGAGAAGTCGGGAGGGGAAGAAAAGAGATGTACTGTCAAACCACTCACCTAAAGAATCAGTGTCCATTCTTCTGGATTCCGACCTGCCATACATCAAGAACTGAATTCTTCCTACTTTGCCTTATGATAACTGGCTTATTGACTGAAGCGTGCTTGGCGCTTTGTGGTGAGGCACGCCTTTAAATTGGTTAAAAGGAGAGCTTGAGAACATCTGGTCACAATTAGGAAGGTCATGACATTCAAAGTCCTAGTGTGTTTGTTTTTTTTTTAGATCAAAATGACTGTGTGATACAGTTTTGACCCAGCTCTTGTGGGGGTCACATGGTCAGTTAAGATTAGAAATGGTGGTTGAATGTTCTCCTAACATTCCAGTAAAACATTTAGCAGTTTCAGGCTTAATGGGCAGACAGCGTGAAGTGCTTGTTCTCATCATAGCACACGGGAATTAGTCTTCTATATGTATGAGGGAGGAGTGCTCCGGTTTACAAGCATCTTCTTGTCTAACCCCTCCTTGCTCTTTCTAGATTTCAAACCAATTAAAGTAAACACTAATGAAAAATATAGAGCCTTTTCAGCATAAGGACCTATTTTACACTGGTAGTTGAGTGAGTTCAGTCACATTCTACTGAACAGGTGAATGGAGATGTACACGCCAGCATGATTTACTATTATTATTATTTGCACCGTGGGCAATACAATGCTGGTAGTATTTTGCTCTATATATTAAAACGTTTGCAATAAGAATGAAGATGATGATAAATGGCTAAATGCACAGTCTGAATTCAAATAAAAAAAACCTGTGCGGTGCCACATGGGGGCATACTGTAAACACACACTAGCTGACTAAAGGCTAAGCATTTGTACAGATGATACATCCATCACTATAAATAATAATACAATCGAAAGGAACATGAGTTCTATGTTTTTGAAGCCCATAGTTGAAAAGGAAATTATAGAGATAGTGAATAAATGTGGTAACAAAACATCTAGTGATAGTGATGGTATCACTATGACAACTGTTAAATGGGTAATTGAGGGGATATGTAAACCATTAACCCATATTTTTAAAATGTTGTTTCGACTTGGGCAGTTCTCAATAATATGAAAATAGCAAAGGTTATTCCATTGTATAAATCTGGTGATAAGCACAACTTC